TTTCTTTCTTTCTTTCTTTCTTTCTTTCTTTCTTTCTTTCTTTCTTTTAGAGAGAGAGCACGTGCACACACGAACAGGATAGAGGGGCAGAGAGAGACAGAGAGAGAGAGAGAGAGAGGGGGTTCAGCACACAGCCTGATGCAGTGCTCTATCTCATGACCCTGGTATCATGACCTGAGCCAAAATTGGTAGTTGGACAGTCAACTGACCAAGTCAACTGAACAAGACCAAGACCAACTGACCCTGAAACCATCTTTAAAAAGCAAAGACGTGCCATCAAAATTAAAAATACTGGTGAGCACAGATAAGAGTGTGAGAGGGTGTGATTTGGGCTTTGAGTGTTGGTAATATTAAATTTCTTTACCTGATCAGGTGACCATCTTACATTTAATAACTTTATAGTACATGTATGTTTTACAAACTTTTCTGGGCATATTACAGTTTTCACATTAGAAAACACTGAATACAGAAAGAGAGGGAGCACAATTTATCAAACTTTTGTTATGAAATGGAAGAAAAAATTTAATCTTAGCTCCCTTGAGATTTGGGAATAACAGGTTCTTCCTTCCTCCCTCCCTCCTTCATTCCTTCCTTCCTCTTTTTTTCTATCTCTTTTATTTTTTTTTAATTTTTTAAAAAACAATTTAACGTTTTTTTATTTTTATTTTTGAGACAGGGAGAGACAGAGCATGAACAGGGGAGGGTCAGAGAGAGGGAGACACAGAATCTGAAACAGGCCCCAGGCTCTGAGCTGTCAGCACAGAGCCTGACACGGGGCTCGAACTCACGGACCGTGAGATCATGAACTGAGCCGAAGTCGGCCACTCAACCAACTGAGCCACCCAGGCGCCCCTTTTTCTATCTCTTTTAAAAAGAAGACACAATAAACTAAAATTTTATGCTGCTGGGAATGGCCCTATAATTTGGGCAAAAGTGACACAAAAGAAAGAAAGGGAATCACGACAGGAGCTGAGCTGATGAGAGTGGATGGGTTCCAGAGAACAAGCAGGGTTGGAGACTCTTCTTTTTTACTAGATACAAGAGTAAGATTTTGTGGATAGATAGGGTTAGGCTGTAAATTTGATGGTGAGAATTAGAATTTTTCTTCAGTGGGAGGGGTTAGGCTCTTCCTTGAGATGACACTAGAGGAGGCCTGAACAGCCTGTTATATTGATGGTTCCAAGCAAATGGCCCTGGTCCCAGGACAACACTCACCATGGTTCTGTCCTGCCAGGCGGTTCATCAGGTAGGATTTTCCTGTCCGAGACAGCCCTGCAATGCCCACCACCACCACAGGCTGAGATATCTTGTCAAGAATCTCTAGTGCTTCTGGATTCACCACCAGCTCCTCTTCCTTGTTTTTTATCAGGCAAATGGGGGCTTCCATGGTGAGTCCAGATGCCATGGTAACCTGTAATCCAGAAGAACTGTTCAATATAACACCAGATCCTGAAGATCACCTCTAAACCACCTCTATTTAGAGGTGATCTAGATCACCTCTAAAAACACAAGATCACCTCTAAAAAATTTTTTTTGTTTAACGTTTATTTATTTTTGAGACAGAGAGAGACAGAACATGAACGAGGGGGCGTCAGAGAGACAGAGACACACAGATTCTGAAACAGGCTCCAAACTGTCAGCACAGCGCCCAACGTGGGGCTTGAACTCACGGACCACGAGATCATGACCTGAGCCGAAGTGGGATGCTAAATCGACTGAGCCACCCAGGTGCCCCCCCTGTGAAGTCACCTCTAATGGTTGTACAAATTACACACATATCAGCTTTCTGCTTATGGAATATAGACATCATTCCTAAGGGAAAAGTGTGTACCCTAGTTAGTGCCTTAAGGCTTGGTACAGAAAACCTGTATCTATTATCTTAATTGTTCTTAAAGTGAATCCTAAAATAATCATATCCAAGAGATGCATAAAATGAACAGAATGAAGAAAGCAAAGGACTGATGATAGAGTCCTGAGAAAACCAACATTTTGGGGGTAAGGCAGAATGAGACACGAAGGAAATGAGAAGATCGGTCATAGAGTTTCTAAGAATTCCAGGACAATATAGTGGCTCATCAATTCTGCAAATATTTATTGAGTATCTACTGTATGCTGCACTGTTCTAGGTGCTCAGTATCCAGAAATGAACAAAGTGGATAAGATTCTTGCCTCATGGAGCTCCAGTCTAGTAGGGGCAGTCAGGTAATTAACAAAACAAATGAGAAAAGATCTACATGTGTTAGATGATGGTAAGTGGTCTGGAGAAAAGTAAGCAGGAGATGAAATACACGGCAATAGATAGGGTTATTGGGGGTTGAATTATACACAAAATATTCTGAGAAAGAGAAAATGAAGGTGAACAGTGCCCGTGATAAGGATAGATTTAGTGAAAGGAAGAGGACAGGAGGTGGATTGGTTGGGGGAGTGAGCGTAGAAGAAGGGAAAAGAAATAATGCAGCTTGTCTCAATATCCAAAACCTTTATACACAGTGCTTAAAGAAATATATGGGTCCAGGGGTTCCTGGGTGGCTCTGTTGGTGATAAGCGTCAGACCCTTAGGACTTATGAGATCAAGCCCTATGTTGGGCTCTGAGCTGACAGCGAGAAGCCTGCTTGAGATTCTCAATCTCTCTCTCTGTCCCTCTCCTGCTCATTCTCTAAAGAAAGAAAGAGAGAAAGAAGGAAAGAAAGAAAGAAAGAAAGAGAAACAAACAAACAAACATTAAAAAAGGAAATATATGGGGCCAGGATTCATTCATGTACTGAAAAACATTTCTCGTTTATAAGTTTACAGCAAAGAGAGCCAGTTGTGAGGATGTTTGAGGATCTTTCCGGATCTGACAGAGCTCCACATCTGAGCTAGACTCTGCTTTGATTGTTGTTATCTAAATGAATGGAACATTTCATCATACCAAAAGATAGAGACCATCCAAAGAACATTTACTGTGCCTTTATTCTAAGATAACGCTAAGCAACATTCACATGTCCCCACACTGGTTCCAGTCCTCTGCCTAAGGTGGGGTTACTTGAATAGTCATTTAGGCAGTACGGGACCCAAAGTGGTAGGAGGTCTCATGCAAAAAGGTGCCCCTACAAGGGCATGCCCTCAAGTAAGTAAATGCTCATTGGGCACAATTGGGCACCTCCTTCAGGAGACAGAAGTGAGCTCACCACTCCTGTATCATTATAGGTGAGTCTGGATAATATGATCCAGTATAGTTTGGGACAGGTGGTAACACGCAATTACAACTTTCTCAGCTAATTCGGGATATTAATTGAAATAGCAGTCTGCAACTAAGAATAATTTCTGGATAAAGAATGCATCCTTACATAACTTTTGAATATTATATTTACTCTCCACATTTGGGGGGAATAGAAAATATTGTCCATTTGTTTCTTATGAGAAACAAAAATGATTAATTACATGGCAGATATCCATGAATTTTCAGGCCCATAAAAGGGATTTGTCAAAGGTGTTGATGGCAGAGGGGGAGATGTAGAGTAGAGCTAAAATTAGAGCAAGAGCAAGGAGATAAAGATTGAGACAGACAGACAGACAGACAGACAGAGAAAGAGAGATTGTTTGAAGATCCTGGAAAGAAATGGATGGCTGATAAGTTAAAGAGAGACAGCATCATACTGTTTGTTTGGGGCTCAACTGCCTGGGCTCAAACACTGGGTCCATACTTTCTAAGCTGCGTGATTACTGGAAAGATATCTCTCTGTTTCCTTTTTTTCATCTGTGAAATGGGAATTCTTATAATAACTAAATTGTAGGGCCACTAGAATAAAAAGTATCCCAGACTGCATACGTATGAACCACTTAAAATTATATTTGATACGTAATAAATGCTATGTAAGTATTGCTTAAATAATAAGTATTGAAGGAGGCAGGAAGGGTGAAATTCCAAAAGAAGGCAAAGAATTGGTTTGGGTAGAAATGGTGACAACTCCTTCCCACAAGTTAAAGCTGGTATGAAGGAAGGAAGGATTACCGCAAACAAACTGTCCCATGAGAAGTATGAGCTGGCAGAATCAGACCCCAAGGGAACCACAGACAAGGAGGGCACTGTGGAGAGTGTTAGGCAGGGGCAACCCAGAGCCACCTGGAATGTCACAATACAGATTCTGGAGGGAGACTGCTATGAATTAACACCTAGAGTTCTAGTCATCTATTGCCTGGACGACCTTGAAAAAGGAACTCGCCTCGGTAAATTACAACTTTCTTATCAGTGTTATGGGTAAAACGGTAATTCCTGGTTAATTCATTACTGTCTGGATCAATGACAAAACCTCTCAATACATTAAATTTTCCACAATTAATGTACTGTTTCAATAATGAGCCTGTGAAGCCACAGAATAGTGAGACAAGTTCTGTGTCAATAGGATTCTGAAAACTGGAAATTTCCAAGGAGTAAGAGGGTAACTATAATATTTTTTGGTTAAAAAATTCAACCTGATTCTCATGAGACTTCTTCTATGGTTGTTCAAGGAGAAATTAGAAGTAAAACATGAGCCTTTGTAATGCCGTGTTAGGAGGAAATGTGGAGTTCTCATAGTTAATGTTACGAAAAGCTTTGGGAAAGAGATGATCTTACAAAGTGATTTTCTTTTAAAAAATGTTTAATGCAAAGCAGGACTGTGGAAGCAAGGCAAGAAGCTTTTCTCTCCAAAACAAAAAGTAGAATGAGATAGCTGTATTATATACTGATAAATGATCATTATTTTCCAAAGTTACTGCCTGTAAGAGTTATCTAGAGTGATGGTTAAAAATGCTTCAAACCTGTATTTTTAATAAATACTGCAGGTTATTATTTGTGTGGATGGTGCGTTTAGAAACAGTGCGTGATGAGCAAACCATATAGTTCGGTCATACGGTTATTTTTTTTTAAATTTTTTTTTCAACGTTTTTATTTATTTTTGGGACAGAGAGAGACAGAGCATGAACGGGGGAGGGGCAGAGAGAGGGGGAGACACAGAATCGGAAACAGGCTCCAGGCTCTGAGCCATCAGCCCAGAGCCCGACGCGGGGCTCGAACTCACGGACCGCGAGATCGTGACCTGGCTGAAGCCGGACGCTTAACCGACTGCGCCACCCAGGCGCCCCTGTCATACGGTTATTTTTAACAGTTGATTAACAATCTATTAGGAAGAATGTTGAATTATTTCATGTAATATAGCTTTGTAGCAACTTCAGAATATTGAGTGTAATTAATGAAAGAACAACCAACAGTCCAAAATTTAGATTTACACGGTCCCTAAGGTAAGGATCATCTTTTCTCTCTGTTTTCCCAATGCCCAGCAGGGAGGCAGGCAGGGCCTGTCTGAAAAAGGGCGTTGGGAAGGGAGGGGGCGAGTCTACGCCGCACCTCCGTGACTGGGTCGGGGTTTGGTCCCTCAGTCTAAGAAAGGACTTCAATCCCCCTTTCTAAAGATGCAGTCGGATGCAGTCCTTCCGTGCAGGGCTTTTGGTGCAAACCCGGGTGGGTGCCAGAAGAGGGGCAACGCATCCCGGCACACGGTGCAGGCGCTGTCGCTTTTCAGGCAGAGCAAACCATCCCAAGGGCCACACACCGCGGAGCACCCTCGTCGTTCTTATGCTGTCTTTGCCGCCTGCCCGCGTGGGGTCTGCGCTTGGGAATTTGTTGTTGTTAGTTAATAGATTTGTGCATGGAAGACCAGGTTTAGGAGCGAACTTACCTAGGGCGGGCGCTGCGGTCAGGGACAAGTTCTCAGCTGCCCTCGCCTATCCTTTCGCGCTCCTGCAGCGTCTGCCTTCTACGGATATGGACCGTTCTCTTTAGAAGTGAAAAGCAAACCGGATATTACAGCCATTCTTTGCAGGTTCGGGATGAAGGAGACCTGAAATCGAAACGACATGCTTAGTCGTGTTTCAACTGCGGTGGATTTTCACTTTTAGCTAAGTCAGGACTCTGGAGTGTGTGAATGAGGCGAAGCAGGAAATCCTAGAAGTAGAAGCTTCCACACCGGTCCCTCCTGTACAGTTGGCTTGGGCTTCCCTGGTCCCCCAGTAAATACAGAGCAGTAGCAGCGAACGTGACCCAAGTAACAGTAGGTTGTGAATATTTCAACAGCCGGTTTTCGCAGCGGTACTTTGTTTTTGTTTGTCTGTTTTAAGTTTTTACTTGGTTATTTCTTATCCCACTGCTTTAAAAAAAAAGTCTTTTTGGTATTAATGTAAGTACTTTAAAAATAATAATAAAATATGTATGTGTACGTATAAAATTGGGGGATATGTACATGTAGTTTAGAAATAATTATTTTATAGTTCAGAAATAATCACTATTATTTTAAGTCATATTTTTCCAATTTTTCCCCCCCCAGGTGGATGCAGATTTTGGGAAACTGGAGCTTATATATTTGGGAGGGGGGGGTCACTCAAATATCAGGAAAATTTCAGAAGCAGGTATTTATTTAAACCGAACAAAGAAATAAGAACAAAAAAAAAAGTTAAATCTAACAAATGCTGCCTTGCGCGCCCCCCCCCCCGTTTTCAGTGTTTCTTCTATTAGGGTACTCCCTATCATATTTGAACTTTAGTATGAGCAAGAATTCTGGAAAAATAACAAAATATGTTAATTTAAGGCATTCCATAGTATGGAGCTACAGAACTGGACTGTGTAACAGATTACTCTGTTATTACAATGTGTTGCCTTCTGGATGAATATAGACAGGAGCTGTGCCATGGAATCTGTGCGCTTTGGTTCATTGACGGCTTTCCTCTGCCTAAAACGTTCTGAGTGAATTGAAAAGATGTTAAGAGTATTAATTACGTTTTTCCTAATATGTTTGTGTGAAATCGGCTCTTTGAAAATAACATGGTAAAAACGAAGTACTAAGAGATGTTAGAGATTCATTGTTTATAACGCTATCAAAAATGGCTTCTTAAAATCACAGACTTGAATCAAGAAAGTACATGGAGTATCAGAAAACAAATTTTTAATTGTCAATTTTGAATAGACCCATTTCCTGTGATATTTGATGGAATGCAGCCAATCACATTTCTTTTTAGTTGTGGTAAAAATATGTATAACATAACTATCTTAACTATTTTTTAAGCATAAAGTTTAATAGTGTTAAAGATCAGTTTCCAGAACTCTTTTCATCGTGCAAAACTATACCCATTAAAGTAATTCCGAATTTCCCTCTCCCTCAGTCCCTGGCAACCACCATTCTACATTTTCTTTCTGTGAATTTGATTATTCTAGATACCCCATATAAATCTTGGGATTGGTTTATTTCCCCAGCATAATTTCCACATATTGTAGCATGTGAATTACCTTCCTTTTTTAGTCTGAATAATATTTTATTTCATGTATAATGCCACATTATGTTTGTCTTTTCATCCATTGATGGACATTTGGGTTGTTTACATCTCTTGGCTATTTTGAATAATGTTGTGAACATGGGTGTGCAAGTCTCTTTAAAATCCTACTTTACAGAGCCTGCTTGGGATTCTCTCTCTCTCTCTCTCTCTGTCTGTGCCCCCTCCTTTCCCAAAACAAACAAACAAACAAACAAACATTGAAAAAAAAAAAGATCCTTCTTTCAAGACTTTTGTATGTATACCCAGAAATGGTATTGCTAGGTCATATAGTAATTCTTTTTTAAGGCACTACCATACTGTTTTCCATAGTAGCTGCACCATTTTACATTCTCACCAACAGAGCACGAGGGTTCTAATTTTCCTAAATCCTTGCTAACACTTGTTATAGTCTTTTCCCCCCTGATACTAGCCATCCTAACGGTGTGAGGTAAAATTGTGGTTTTGATTTGCATTTCTCTAATGATTAGGGATGTTGAGTATCCGTTCATATGCTTGTTGGCAATTTGTGTATCATCTATGGAAAAATGTGTACTCAAGTCCTTTCCCCATTTTTAAAATTGGGTTGTTTTTTGTTGTTGAGTTGTAGGAATTCTTTATATATTCTAAATGTTAACCCCTTATCAAAAATATGGTTTGCAAATATTTTCTCCCATTCTGAAAGTTGTGTTTCACTCTGTTGATTGTGTCCTTTGATGCACAGATGTTTGACTTTTTAATTTTCATATGCTATTTTTTTGTCTTTGCTTTTTGTGCATTTTCAAGAAATCTTTGCCAAAGCCAATGTCATGAGGCATTTTGCTTATGTTTTCTTTTAAGAGTGTTACACTTTTAGGTTTTATGTTTATGTTTAGGTCTTTGATTCATTTTAAATTATTTTTTGTATATGGTATATGGTAAGGGTCTAATTTCATTCTTTTACATGTGGAAATGCAGTTTTCACAACATCATTTATTGAAAAGACTGCTCTTTTCCCATTAAATGGTATTGGCACCATTGGTGAAAATCATTTGACCATATAAGCCGGATTTCTCTCTAGGCTCCCTCTTCTTTTCCATTGGTCTATATGCCATTATGCCAGTATCACACTGTTTTGATTACTGTGGTTTTAAAATAAATTTTGAAATCAGGAACTGTGAGAACTCCAACTTCATTGTTTCTTTTCAAGATTGTTTTGGATATTCTGGGTTCCTTGAGATTCCATGCAAATTTTAGGATGTTTATTATGCTTTGTTGTTTGTGTTTCTAATTTTGCAAAAAGTGACATTGCGATTGTGATGGGAATTGCCCTGAATGTCTACATCTCTTTGGATGGTCTTGACAGTTTAACAATCCTAACTCTTGCAATCAATCCATGTACACAAGATGTGTTTCCATTTATTGTTGTCTTCTTTAATTTCTTTCAGCAATGTTTTGTAGTTTTTGAGTGTATACATCTTCAGCTTTCTTATTTAAGTTTATTCCTAAGAATTTATTGGTTTTGGGTGCTATTATAAATGGAACTGTTTTCCTAACTCCCTTTACGATTTGTTCGTTATAAACTTATAAAAATGCCACTGGTTTTGAGTGTTAATTTTGTATCCCGAAACTTTGCTGAATGAATTAATTCCAACATCTTTTTTTTTGTGTGTGGAATATTTGGGGTTTTCTAGATATAAGATTATATTGTCTTCAAACAGGGATAATTTTGTCTCCTCCTTTTCAATTTTAGCAGCTATTATTTGTTTTGTTTGCCTAATTGTTTGGCTAAGATTTCCAGTACTATGCTGAACAGAAGTGGCAAAAGTGAGGGTCCTTGTCTTTTTCCTGATCTTAGAGGAAAATCAGTTTTTCACCTTTGAGTGTGATATTACCTGTGGGCTTTTCATATGTGGGCTTTAGTATGTTGAGGTAGTTTTCTTCTATTCCCAGTTTGTTGCGTGTTTTTATCATGAAAGGCTGTCAAATTTTGGCAAATGCTTTTTGCATCAATTGATATTTTTAGGTGGTTTTCTTCCTCTTTTTGTTTATGTGGTATGTTACATTGCTTGATTTTCAAATGTGAACCATCTGTGCATTGCAGGAGTCAATCCCACTTGGCATATATTCCTCCTAATGTGCTTTTGAATTTTGTTTGATGGTATTTTGTTGAAGACCTTTGTATAAATATTCATCAGGGATATTGGTCTTTTTGAGAATAGTTGACACGAAATGTTATGTTACTTTCAGATGTATAACAGAGTGATTCAATTTCTCTGTATGTTTGATGTTCGGTTTTAATATCAGAATAATGTTAGACTTATAGAATGAGCTTGGAGATGTTCCCTCCTAATTTTTTGGAAGAGTTTGAAGAGGTTTGGTTTTACTTCTTTAAAGAATGTAATGGTATTTGGTAGTGGCCACCAGTGAAGCCATCTGGTCCTAGGCTTTTCTTTGTTGGGAGGTTTTTGTTTAATGATTCAATCTCCTTACAAATTAGAGGTCTGTTCAGATTTTCTATTTCTTCATGATTCAGCCTTGGTGGGCCTTATGTTTCTAGGAACTTATCCATTTCATGTGGACTATTTAATTTGTTGGCATACAATTTTTCATTCTTTATAATCCTTATTTCTATAAAATTGGTTGTAATGTCTTCTCCTTCATTTCTGATTTTAATTGAGTCTTCTCTCCTTTTTCTTATCTGGTAACTTTACCTAAACATTTGTCAAATTTGTTGATATTTTTGAAACCCAACTCTTGATTTTGTTGATTTTCTGTGTTTTCTATTCTCTATCTCATTTGTCTTTGCTCTCATCTTTATTACTTCCTTCTGCTAGCTTTGGATTTAGTTTGTTCTTCTTTTTACAGTTTCTCAAAGTGTACAGGTAGGTGGTTAATTTGAGATCTTCTTTATTTCTTAATGTAAGCATTTATAGCCATAACTTTCCCTTGTTACACTTATTTTGCTGTATCTATAAGCATTGGTATGTTATGTTTTATTATTTATTTATGTATTTATTTATTTATTGGTATGTTATGTTTTACTTTTCATTTGTCTCTAATTTCTCTCATGATTTCATCTTAGGCCATTTGTTGTTTAGGTATGTGTTGTATAGTTTCCACATGTTTGTGAATTTTCCGATTTTCCCTCAGCTGTTTATTTCTAGTTCCATTCCACTATGATCAGGACGGGTGGTATGATTTCAATAATTTTAAATGTTTTAAGATTTATTTTGGGTCCTAACATAAGGTCTACCCTGACAATGTTCCATATGCACTTGAGAAAAATGTGCATTCTGTTGTTGGGTGTAGCGTTTTATAAATGTTTGTTAGGTGCAATTGGCCTCTAATGTTGCTCAGGTCCTTCTTTCCTTATTGATCTTCTGTCTGATTATTCTATTCATTCTTGAAAGGGAGGTATTGATTCTCCTATTATTATGTAAATGTTTCTTCCTTCAATTCTGTCAATGTTTGCTTCATATATTTAGGAGCTCGGATGTTGGGTACATACATATTCATAATTGTTATATCTTCTTGGTGAATTGATACTTTCATTATT